GCATCTCTAGCAGGGCCAAGGAAGTGATCCTCCCCCTCTACGCGACACTGGTCAGGTCACAGCTGCAATACTGTGTCCAGTTCTAGGCGCCACAATTCAGGAGGGAAGTGGACAGCATGGAGAGGGTCCAGAGGAGGGTTACTCACATGATCAGGGGGCAGCAGGGCAGACCCTACGAGGAGAGACGACGGGACCTGAACCTGTTCAGCCTCCACAAGAGAAGGCTGAGGGGGGATCTGGTGGCCTGTTACAAACTAGTCAGAGGGGACCAGCAGGCAATGGGGGAGTCCCTGTTCCCCCGAGCACTCCCAGGAATGACTGGAAATAACCGTCACAAGCTGGCAGAGGGTAGATTCAGACTAGACATCAGGAGGTGCTACTTCACTGTCAGGGTGGCAAGGATCTGAAACCAACTTCCAAGGGAAGTGGTGCTGGCTCCTACCCTGGGGATCTTTAAGAGGAGGCTAGATGTACACCTTGCTGGGGTCGTTTGACCCCAGTACTTTTTCCTCCCAAGGCAGGGGGTCAGACTTGATGATCCGCTCAGGTCCCTTCCGACCCTACCAACTGTGAAACATACCATGCTGATACCAGGGGAGAGCAAGCTCACAAAGCTTACAAATATAAACACAACCTGCAGAATTAACCCAACTATTCAGATCAGTGGTTTTCAACCTTTTTTGTTAAAGACTCCTAAAAAATTTCAAATGAAATTGCAGACCCCTCTGGAAATCTCTAATGGAAGTGCAGACCCCTTTGAATTGTAAATGGGGGTATTCACAGACTTTTGGTTAATTATAATCATCTTTTGCAGACCCCTTAGGGAGTCTGAGGACCCCCCAGGGGTCCGTGGACCACAGGTTGAAAACCACTGCTTTAAATGAACTTCACTCATCTTTTCTTAAGATCCAAGTTTTAAATACTACATTCTCGATAGTTCTAACCCTTCCCTACTAAAAGTGCATCACAGCATTTCAAGTTTTAATATAGACTGATTGCTCAGCACCATGCAAGTTGTCTTTATAATTGTATATAAATAAACCTGCCCTTTATATTAATACACTGATAGCACAAAATATAGATTCCTGCCGATTTCTTTCCAAGACACTGATTTAAGGAAAACCAGAGCAACCTATCAATGATATCTGATTTTTTTCTTTTACTTCAACTGCCCATACTTATACATAAAGAAGTGATTTATAAGATTGGGAAGCTCATTACTCCCCCATTACCTGACAGTAGGCATAGTTTCCAAGAGCTCTGTGAGCTTCATCAATAACCAGACACTTAACTTCTCCAGCAGGACAGATTCCACGAGAAAGATCATTTACCATTATTTGAGGAGTAAGGAAAAAGACTCTTTTACTGTCCCAGATTTCCTTTCTGTTGGGAACCTGAGTACCACCTAAAACAAAAAACAAAAAAAAAACAAACAACAGTACATATTTCAACGAGAGAATACATCTTCTTCAGTGACTCAAGAATCCATTTAGTGTAACCAATATTAGTCCCTGCGCTTAAAACAATGGGCTGCCTCCTAAATTGTACCAGCCAAGAGAGAATGGTCAGCAGAAGCCTAATCTGCATTGCAGGTTCCATAAACTTTGACACCACTTTGAGTTTCCTCCTACTAAACCAGAGAGGAGAGCCTTGCTCCTGCAGAAGTGCAGAGCTCAGCAAAACTTGCATCAAGAACCATTGCCAGCCACCTTGCAAGCACAGCACAACTGGTTCACCTTTTGCTTTAAAGTCATTGTCTACCAAATGAACCACTCACTCTTCTTGGCCTCCTGATGCCAAGAGGTTGTGTCACTAAGCCCCCATGTCTCTGCAGCACTAACTACAATATATTTGTGTGCATTTATATCCAGGTATAGGTGAACCCTTTATCCTGCTGCCCTTCACAGTCCAGTTAGTCCTGTTGCAAGTTCCTCAGGCAGTCTGTTTTCAATCAAATTTCAGCTTCTAAAACAAAATTCCTTACTCCTCAGCACAACAGCCTGGCCCCTCCTTCAGCACTCGTGGCCCTAAGGAAGGGGGGCAAAACCCACACCTCCATAACAGGCAGCAGCCCTTCAAAAAAGCTAAGAGGCGGTATCTTCCCCAGTCATCTACATGCTTAATGACAGGCACAGCACTATCTATGGTTGCTTGTTTATTGTAAGTTTATCTGAGCCTTTTTGAAAGGGCAGGTAAATCAGGGTAGTCTGTCCCCTTAAAAAGGGGCAACCAGCCCTGTTAATGTTATTGGGCTGTGGAACATTCTGCTAAGAGGGAGGGTCCCGCTGGGAGCTGAGAAAGCTGAGGGACGGGGAAGCAAGCATGAGTGGTAGTGTTTGGTAATGTTCAGAGAGGGCAAAGGATTTGGACAAAAAGCTTTGTTAGCAGCTGAAGTTTGCTTCATGGAAAACAAACTGCCTGAGGAACTAGTATGTTCCCCACAGCTAGTGCTGCACAGGCCGGGAGGCAATGACATGTGCATCAGGACGCCAAAGGCAATGGATCCACTTGGCAGACAAAGGCTCTCAAGCCCAAAAGCATAAGGGGTTTGTGCTGGGGGTTGGAGGGTCTGTGGCGCTGATTCTGCTGAGCTTGAACCGCACTGGAGACAGGCCCCAGGCCCACAGGACCTGGGGCAGGGGCACACTGATAAGAACTGCCATTTACTAACTCGCCTATCCTGCCCAGTCTCCTGTGTCTCACAAGGGCAGAGACTAGATGCTGACCAGGAGACAGAACTGGGTCTGACCAGGGCCTTGTTCCTCTCTCACTTGCAGCCTTCAGCATTTAGGGCCTAGGAAGTTCTGATGCAGAGGCCGTGCCTCGCACTCCCATGCTTAATAGCTCCTGATGCCCCCTTCCTCCAGGAATGCGTCCAGTCTCTTGGTGAAACTAGCTAAACTGATGGCGGGCATCCTTTGTGCAGACCCCAGCCCGGCCGCTCAGGGTTCGGATGCCCCCCACCATACGTCCACAGGAGTGAGCTAGGGAGTCATCTCCCACTTCCATACAGCCGACATAAAGCCGAGATCCTCCCACTGGAAAGGAAAGTGGGAGGGTTAACTACGCATTGCCTCCACAGGGACCACCCCATGCCAAAAAAGCACAGAGGAAAATGTGCTGCGGTATTTCCCCGGCCACAACGGACTTTTGGGTTGAGCAAGGTTTCAACTGGGATGAGGCAGGCCACCCCCGCTTGGAGGGGACAGCCGCACCTGTCATCTCAGCCATGTGGGAGCGTGGCAGGCCCATGAGGCAGGCGCAGGCGTCCATCTGCTGCGCCACCAGGGGCTTGGTGGGCGCCAGGAAGAGCACCTTGCCAGACGGGAACCAGCGGTAGAAGTTGTACATGACCACGGCGGCCACGAAGGTCTTGCCAAGCCCAGTGGGCAGCACCACCAGCGTGTTGGCCTCCAGCGCCGCCCGCGCCAGCCGCTCCTGGTAGCCGCGCACCGGCAGGTTGGTGGGGTAGATCCACAGCGCCCCCGAGACCCGGCAGAACCCGCCCGCCTCGGCCTCGGCCTCGGCCTCGTGCGCCGCCGCCAGCAGCACCGCATCATCCTCGTCCGAGGCCGCCTCCACAGGGGCCCGAGGCGGCGCGCGGGTTCCCCAGGCCTGGAACAGTGTCCGCTGCCGCCCGCCCGTCATGCCGCCGCCATCGTGGTGCCGCCGGTGCTTGAACACCCCGCCGCGCGGGGCACGCCGGGAAAAGGAGGCAGTCCTGAGGGGAGATTCCGGGCCGGAAAACGGAGCCCGGGATCAGGAAACCGGACGCTAAGGCATGCTGGGAAATGGAGGCCTTTTGCGGGCTAAGTTCCGGCGGCGCGCGGAGGCATGCTGGGAAGTGTCGTTCCCTCGAGAGCCGGCTTGGTAGACAACAGGGAGCAGCCAATAATACCAACCCTCCCCGCCCAGCCGATGCCGGCTC